TAAAACGCTATTAATTTTACTGACAATTACAAAATACAGTACAGCTGTTTCAAACGCTTTTCAAATTACAGTATTGTACAAATTAATTACTGAACTGTGTATAATTCAGATACGTTATAATACAGTACAGTACTGTACACAAATATTCAATTCAATTCAGAAGAGAGGGCTGCTGTGTTCGAAGCTGGACAGTGAAGCAAAAGGACGGTTTCAGCTCTGATGGAAGAATGATAATCCATCTCCATTCACCAGAGATCAGCATGTTTAGAGGCTCAGTGCCAGTAGTTTGGAGTGCTCTATGCTAGTTCGTGCCCAGAATCCATATGTGAGAATTAAATGACTGTTTAGTTTCTTATGTTTCCCTATCAAGCAATACAGGAAAATGATTGTTTCTGGAATCTGTTACTTTTGCTGTACCAGTTTTGATAATGATCCTTTTCTGATTTTGATCCCCTTTGAGCATTTCCTGCAAAGCTGAAATGGTCCAGGCTGATAGGTCCTTTTAAATATTGGAGCTGTGTGATTTAGCTGTACTCTTTGCTCATGAAGTTATTTTACAGGCTGTCACAGAGGTTCCTCGGCTCCCATATTTCTTCCAATAGTCCATATGCATCACTCCTCAGGCAGGTCAGACAGATGATTGTAGCTGGCACTAGGCACTGGAATTTTATCAGGTGTTCAAACCTGCTCCCCTTCTAGGAACTATTTAAGCCTTTTACTCTAACTGCTGCCATTATATTGCTGACTAGTGTCTTGCTTTAATTTAAAAAGCCCCCTTCTAGTAATTGAGTGTGTTTTGTGAATAACTATTTCTTGCCTGATAAGATTATTTTGGATTTTTTAAAATCAGTTAAATACTGTCATGTTATATCCCTTAGAATTTTCTGCTCCATTGACACAGGCAGTTTGAATTGTTTTTGTTGCCTTTCAGTAGTACCAGTAGTTCTCAAATGAAAAGTTTGTTGATGTGTTTCAGCCATGTGCTTTTGCAGTCTCAGTATTTACTGCTATACCAATGTTCAGTGTGTCATGATTGATTGTCTGGCTACATTGGAAGAGCCGTTCATGGTAAAGGGGCAGGCATATATTCTCAATGTTTATCCACTTATTGGCAGTGTACAAATTGGCAGTGGCAAGTTCTTTTTGAAAATCTGTGGCAGGAATTCCTCTGAAAGTCTAATAAAAAATGCAACCTAGGATCAAAATGGGAAGGCAGAAATACACTGTGTATTATATAGAGACAGTAGCTATTGTGAAGCTACTAAAACATTATCTTCACCTGCGTCTTGTCAGTGTATTTAATAAAACATGTATTATTCAAAAAATAATCTTGTTTTCTTCCTTGACAGCACCTTGGTACTTGGGCAGCTGAAAATCAAATTACTTCTTTGCTTTTCTTCAGAGGACACCACACTGAGACAGGATGACATCTGGCTGCTTGACGGAGATGAGTCTATCTCTCAGGACAATGAAATTCTCCCCCGCATGCCCAGACCGAACCACCTCGACATTCTTAGGATTACGCCCCCAGAAGATGACATCACTGGTGACACACCCTACTACCCCAACCGGGAGTTCACTGTAAGTGATAATCAATCTACCCATTATACATGTCAAGATGAGTTTCGGCATGGACTGCTGGATCTGGTGGGTGTTTAGGGAGCGTGCTTTTGGTTCTGTTGGGTAATTAACTATTTTTTTTCATATAGCATACTAACTTGGCTCATTCTGTACCCTGAAAGTGACACTGATATAATACAGGACTGCATGATTATGGACCAAAAACACCCAGTCTGAAGGTCCTTTTTCTTTATTCATCAAGACCAGAGCATGGGGAATGCATCTGCTTTGTTACTGCAGCTGGGCCACATAAATCCGACAGGCCCACAGATGGTGCTTATTCACTAACTAGACTGAGTTTGGCAAAGACCAGCAAGGACGTTTCCTAGTCTTAAGGGGTGCTATAGGAAGGCGTTTTCAAAGCTTTAAATCCCAGCAGTTGCATGCAAAAGCAAATGAGGGGGGACCTAAAATAAGCAAACATGACAAATATCTTGAGTTCTGTCTTTACCCACCATCTGTTCACAAGTGTTTTATCAGTTCCTAACATAGCACTTCATGTCTAGCTCAATTTCATTTGCTTTCGTTATTTTTTTCTGATCCACAGTCAATGTGAACACGCCGTTGCCACTTTTCTAAACAGCGTTTCTGCAATATAAGGAGTGAGTGAAGAAACATGAGTGCTGTCTTGTTCTCAGGTGTTGCTGGCAAAATATTTATACCTCTCACACCTTCAGTAACATCATGCACCTTCTGGGATTTTGTGTAGTGTTATAATATTAGACTGGTGATCCATGCATGGAAAGCAAAGCAGGGCATGTTTCAAAAGTTTTTTCAGGGAGGGTACCAGATTAGACCTCACAAGAGCTGCCTGTCTAAAAATTGGCAGGTTACCGGATACAGTTCCAGAGAATGACAACTGTAAACACACACATACAGTCTCATGGATATTGTTTGGGTGTGGAGCACAGTCAAATGTCCTTCTGGTCAAACTGCATTTAATCCTCTTCCCTCCCTGGGATGACATGACCTATTGTCACAGAAATTGCCTTGGATTTTATGAGACTTATAGCAGAAATATTGTTGTGTGAGTCTAACCAGGTGCTGTTGTTACTGCGTTCAGTGTCTGGGGCTGCCAGCTTGCTTGGCACACTGTGACACTTGGATCTTCAATAAATAGTCATGATGGAATCATTAAAATAATTGGACTGCTGCTTTAGATTGTATGAGTGTGGTTGGTCTGCATTATGTTAATATTATTGATCTGGGCCACGTTAAAGTTGTTAGTCTGGGTAAGGAAACTGTAATTTAGTTTAAACTGTAGTTTGGGCTACATATGTATGCTTTGTGGCTTATAAAGTGCCACAGGCCCTGAGCTGTGCCCTGAGTTCAGAAGATGGCTCCCAGTTTAAACAGCTTTTTTCTCTCTGGCTCTACCCTGTCGTCCCCAGGAGCCTCTTGCATTTGTTCCTCTGATGATCACAACTGTGACCCATTAAACACAGTGTTGGTTATGCAATAGGGGCACATGAACTCAAGGCCCTCTGCCTGTGGATTACTTTTAATCCCTTCGTATCACAGAGCAATTCTGCAGCCTGGTTTGTTGTGCCATCGACTGTCCATTCATCCATGTGTCATCTTTTATCGTTAATTAAAAATGATGACATTGATTGTGCAGAATATGTAATGTATAATAGATAGCATTGGCAATAACTGCAGCGGTTTATTTCAGCTGGTGAGGAAAAAAAAATGCTAGTAAATTCAATAATATGACGAGATATTGATTCAAAAGATGTGAGTTTAATGTAACATTTCAAATAAGCAAAGTTAATGTCTGCTTACAAGTGTCTGCTTACAAGTGTGGACACGGCATCTGAAGCATGAGCTGCCTGGGTTAAAGTTGTTTGAACAATCCCGAAGGCTAAATACCTTCAGGTTCCTGTGCATATCCTTAAGCATATTTTATGCCTTTAAATTTAAATGTTTTTGTCCAAAGCTGTTTTGAGGCATGTGAGCCTGACATTTACTGTTACTGTAACTGCCTCTCCCAGATGGGAAGGTTGCCTTTTATATATATTTTTTTTAGTCTATATGTTGCCACTTGTGCCCAGTTTCATTGTCTGTCTTGTCACTAATCAGTGGTCTGCATCTGTTCAGTCTCCGTAATTTTCTCACAACAGTGGTTCACAATATCCAAGGGCCTGTCTACGTCACACGGCGCTACGGTACATTAGCAGCACCCATGGCAAGGGAGAGTCCCGTGGCTGGCCTTGCTTATGCTTCCTGTCCCTCATCAAGATCTACATACAACAAGATTTCATCATCCTGTTTTCCTGAGACGCCCAAGCAGTACACACCCTTAACCTTGTTCTCCTGCTTAACACTTTAATTTCCCATCATGTCCAACATGCTGCTGTAATCCACATTAATTCCTCCAATACCATCCCTGTCCTTGATATCCAACTATTCTTACTCTTTAAACTTTTAACTTTCAGGTCTGCACAGCTACTCCTTTGCAAAAAAAAAATCACACTTCTGCGATGTCTTGCCCATTACAATGGAAATATATTTGTTTTTAAATCTACTTTAGGGTGTAATGGAAAGTATATTTAAAGTGTACATTTGTTATATTGTTGATGATGATATATATATTTTTAAATTAGCATACTTTGGTAAACTTGGAGCACAATTGAGTGAACTGTTTTGAATGAATGTTTTTATAAGAGTTTATTCAGGAATACTTTGTGGCTTGCTATAGGAATATTTGCTTTGCTTAGAACTGATAATCCAATGTCTAATAATGTAGCCATAGATCCACCGTGATCACTCTTTATTTAGGGTATAATATACATATCCATATAATTTCAGTAATAATCTTTTTACATGTATTTTGTAAGTGTTGAATTTAAAAATGGTGTTGTTAGATGTTTTTGTTTCTTACTCAGGAACTTCACAAAACAAGATTTCTTTGAATATTATTTAGCTATGTGTGCAGCATCTAATGCCAATAAACTAAAAGTATGCCCAAAAATTGCAACTTTTGTATCCATTAGGAGATATTCACTTCTATTTTCTACAGTCACCTTTTTAACACCTCGGCTTTAAAATGAAAAAAACTTAGTAATTTGGGTTTTGGTGGTATGACATTCGCAGAGTAATTATGGGATGCCTAGCCAACTAATTGTTGCAGATTATGCCTGTGGTGTAACAGCACCACTCGGAACCGTCCCTGGCAGTGTGTCTGACCTGAGGATTAGTGGCCTGTGCTCCTGCTGTCTGTGTTTACTGAGTACTAGGAAGCAGCGAGGGAGTGCCCTACCTGTACCAAAGGTCTAGAGGAGGCGGAGAGGATGGAGGGGTGGGGCAAGTAACCAGACACCTAAGCAGCTGCTGGAGATCAGTCTCAGGCAGGGAGGTTGGGGGTGGGCAGGGCAAGAGGCGGGACGGACCGGTGAGCCACATTCCTCTGCAAAACTTGAAGGCTTTTTCACACGAGAGAGAACGCAGCAGCAAGGGGAAAAGCGGGTTGCCCTTGACTTGATTCTGCGTGGCAGGACTGAGGGAGAGCTGGAACGTTCCTGGCTTCTCTGTCTGACTCAGACTGACAACTGGAAAACATTGTTGCTTTGGAACATTTTTTTTTCTCTGCATGCCGCAAGCTTTTCCTTAAGAAGCCCTTCTTCCTGTTTTCCCTTGGAGAATATTTTGTAGTACTTCACTCTCTGCTCCCATTTGTGAAACTTGAAGGGTTTTACTGTGCTACATTTTTTAATACTTGTACAAAAAAGTTTTTGAAGGATTTTTTTTTATAAGAAAAGGCTTTTAGAAGACATTGTTTTTATTAACAGCAGCACAAAACACCTTGCGAAAAGGATTACAGGAAGCTATGGTTTGTTGCAGAAGCTCTTCTGGGCCAAGCAGGCTTTTGAGGATCCAAATTGACAAAAGGACTTTTGTTTGCTGAAAACGAAATTGGATCGGAGCAGGTTGGAGACCTGAAGGTGTAGTGATGAGCCCTTTGTCAAGTGTCCTGAATATGGACTCTGAGCAGGATACATTTTTCTTTCTGGGCTCTAAATTTGAAAGAGGAATGCACAAAGGAGACATATAAAAGTATTATTAATGAACAGTAATTTATAAAAATCTGATTACTTGGTAAGATGATTCAGTTTGATGAATTGGGACCTTAAACAGATAGATTGCGATGAATAACATAAACGGCAACCCGGATACTGGTGATAAGTATCCCCCGAACTCATTCTTCAATAAAATCTCGACTATGTTCACTCGGATTGGGGCAGAGAGATCAGAAGTTAAAGAGCCAGACAGGGAGGAGGCGGTGCTGACTTCGTTCCGGACATTTGCCGATAGCCATGACCCCAACTCTGCAGGAATTCTTGGGGCAGAAGGTCTGTTAGGTGTGACTACAACATACCACAATGGTAACGAAAGTGCTTCTGTGATAGAGGAGAACAAGGACTCGCATCAAATTAGAAGAGGGTCAACCGATACAGATCTGGTCCAGGTAACCATGGTGGAAACCTACAGTGATACAGAGACCGAAGAGGAAGAAGCAGAGGAATCTGACCTTTGGTTTAGAAGCCATGTACTCTCCAAGGAGCCACATGATGTTGAGCAGTTAGACGGGCGGGTACCCATCTTCAGACTGCACAGTGTTCCGGAGACACCCATCACAGACATCAATCCAGCTGCAAACCAACAAGTTTCTATGGCATCATTCCCCAGCACACTTGAAAAGGCTGACAAGGGGGACGCAACTTTACATGGTGTTTCTAGCTCCTTTCATTCCCTTGCTAGAAACAGCCTTTCAGACACACCAATGCCCTTATTCAAGGTCTCTCTGGATAGTTCTGATGGGTTACATTCAATGGACAGTCCCCCAAGTATGCAGCAGGATGACCATCCTGAGCCTGGACCACCCATCCCAGCTGAGACAGCTGATATTGGGGAACTTCCAGAACAGCCCAGACTCTTTCCCATTGGAGATGTTGCACCAGTCTCCCCCAGTACCATGAGGCAGCCTGATGTTGACCCTGGGGAGAATCCTTTAGTTATGGACTCAATTGAGGCACCTGACCAGGACGATACCCCTTCTGAAAGCCAGGCCTCCACCATACCCTCTCTACTCAGGAGTCAAAGTGGTGTGTCTGATAGCAAGAGGAAACCAGAGGTTTCACCCCATGAATCCCTCTCTGGGGGCATGCAGCTTCCTTCCAGTACCCCTGGGGAGAAGCCCTTCCAGCTCCCTGCCCTCTTCAGTGGGTTACGGGTACTGAAGAAGGGAGCAGTGGGGGAGGAGAGGGAGACCGTGGCCGAAATCAGACAAAGAGACACCGACTTGGCACTACTCCAGCTAAAGAAGCCGGTCAACAAAGGCCGGTTGTTCACTGAGCCACTGCCGAGCAAGAAGCCCAGACCTGTGCTTGAACTCAAGAGCAACTTTTTGGAGCAGCTGACCCAGCGCCTGACCCTGAACAGCGGCAAAACTGAGGCAAAGGAGCCTGCGACTGAGCCATTGGCTGACCAAGTGCCCCACCTGAGAGAAGAGGGGACAGAGGGGAATTTGCACCCAACCACCTCAGTGGAGGATGCTGACAAAGTCCTGGAAACACCGTTTGATACCTTTAAAGCATTTTTTACCCCAAAACCACCTAAAAAGGATTCTGGAGAGGCTGTGGACCTGGAAGCTGTGAAGAGGAAAATCAAAAATGAGAAGGAGGTTCTGAAAGCAATATTTGAGAGATCTTTGTCCAAACCAGATAATAAAGACTTAACAGATGGAAAAGTATGTCATTGCAAGCAACTTTCTGCAACTTACTCTCATCTTTTCAGCTTAATTCATCTGTGTGCGATTTTTCTGACAATTCTGTGCAATTTGATTGCTAAGATAGCTGACAAACTAATGCAAATATATCATCAATATTTGTAAAGATGTAGGATTAAAAGTAGTGTTTCATATTAGTAATATAACTCATCTGATTTTCCATTTAAATTTAAACAACAACCCGAGGACTGTCTGAATGTTATACTCCAACCATATGAAGTGCCATGTTAAGATGCTTTAGTGGACCTTAATTACATTTTCTCGCTGATTTACTTCAGAGTGGTAAATAGCTTAAGAATAATTGCAATTAAAAGTTATGCGCATGTTTGTGTCCAGTTCTCTTGTTTAGCAACGCCAATGTTTTTTATACAAGAACTACACTCTTAACTTTGCATCTCTCCAATGTTGCATATAATGCTGATGTTTTGCTACAGACTGTGACCTGTTAATTCGTTATTTGTCCTGCAGTCTGAGGCTACCTCACCAGCCGATAGTGAGGACCGCACACCGGGGAGGCTACAGGCTATCTGGCCCCCCCCCAAGCCCAAGGATGAGCTGGAGAAAGTGGGCCTCAGGTATACAGAAGCAGGTGAGGCCCAGCTCTAGACCACATCTTACCCTGGAATTCTTGCTGCACTCTCTGATCTGTCTGAACTTCTCATTTAAAACAAGGATAAATGCGTCCTTATCCAAAATATTTAACATCAGCAGTTTAATCTAATTTTCAAGTGACTGTCGGTATTGGGGCATCCAGAGCATGAGGCCTTGTCTAGATTCATTTAAAGGAAGGAACATGCAGGGCATTGATGGGCATTGAAGCTGTTCTTCCAGGGATTGCCCTGTAGCCTTTGGGAAGATTGACCACTCCAGGTCCAGCTCCAGGCACAAGCACACCAGCAGCAACAATCCTGAAAAAGGACGCATTTGATTATACCTCTTTGGCTTTTACCTTTTAGCTCATAGACATTGTTAGATCTGAAACACGTCTCTCTGGTTTGACTGGTTTTAGTTTGCCATTCTGAGCTGTACAGTGTCATTACGGTGAATGGTGGCTAAAAGGCTCAGATATGAGGATGTGGAAGCTTTGCACAGTGACCCATCAACCTGCAGACAGGTGAATGCGGGTGTGGGTTTGCATGTAGGCACATATAGATGTGTCAGCACTGTGCTCATCAGAATCTTTTACTTTTCCCCCTTTCAATTTTTTGAAAACACAGCAGGTGCTTGATGTTACCAGGAACTAACCTGGGCCAGCAGATAACCAGCTGCTGACATTCTTATTGTGGGTGTGGTTACACGCCTTAGTCACTGACTCAAGTACAAGCTGTTTACCAGGAAACACTAATGGTTTTGTTCAGAGATACTAAATTATTTAGGTATGTCACTGTTTAACTATGACACAGTGCAAGTGTTGCCAGATGCCTGTCGCTTAACACTTAAATATGAATGTATTCATGTAATGTAGTTTGTAATGCAACTCAGAATCTAATTAGACTTTGTAGAAATCTGGCTCCTCTGCTGAACTGTTGCTACATTAAATCACATCACATTAATTTACATTAATACACCATCAGTGCCCTACCTACCTAAACTGGCTAACCTCTTAAACTTGTTTGTGAATCATGGGAAGCTGTCTTATCAAAGTCATCTTTATTGTCATTGTGTGCATGCACAACAAAATGAAACTGTGTGCTGCAGAGCTGATTGTGTCCCACAGTGTACGCAGAAAGGGGAAATCTAACTGAAATTTGTACATAGTAATAAATATAGGCGGTAAAGGCGGGTGCGTGAGAGAGGGTTATCTGTTGCATCCACAGAGCACATCAGGCATACAGTGGACTCTCTTAGCTGCAAGCGCTAGGTCTGCAGAAAGTTGCTTACTGAGGCAGGTTATTGAGCTTCAGCCATGCTGTCGTACTTCCCCATTAAATATGCTGCCAGAGACAAGCATTGCTGCAGTGTGTGGCGTGATTAATTTCTAATCTTAATTACAGAGAGATGATCAGTTTTTTGCCATAGAATCGATACACCACTCTCCGTAATGGCATCTAACCATAATTCCCTGTAATGATGTGCCCCATCCTTAGCTGACCCTGCACTTAAATCATCTGGATAATGTAAGTAATCAGCCCAGTAGTGTTAAAGGAATGTTAATCAGGGTAAACTGGCTGCCAGGAAACCAGGTAGCAGGTCACAGTTTTTAGGGTGTTTTTGTTGGGGAATTAGTGTGGGGTTCCATGGCACTGAACATTATTTATTTATACTGCTCTGGTGCTAAATACAAGGACACTAATGTAGTTGCAATTAAGAACCATTTTGTCATGTGATCACTGGACACAAGAGGAGCAACATTGTTGTACCTTTGGACGGGATGTTTAGAAAAAGACTTATGTGAATTATGTTCGTAAACATATGGACAAATGGTTTGAATAACAAGTCTGGTGCAGGTGTTAGAAATTACTGTGCAGCAGCAGTTAAATCCAGCCATAAAAATGATCTGTGATTGGTAAAGGATATGTGTTTCTCCTGATTAGGGCGTCTTAAATTGTTGCAAAAAAGGACCCCTTCAAAGGTTGCAGTCACATGTACACTTTTTCATTATCTAGTAGTATCTAAAGAAGCAATATCCAGACTCTTATTCAGTCAGATGCATAAAGAGTTTTGCAACAATACTGCCACCCAGTGGATTTTTTCATTGCTTTACAGTTGTCACAAAATCTGTGAATATTGTTCTAACATTTTGTGTGTTATAATATACATTTGGATATGGTAGGGTGATTATTATATAAATACCTGTTGACTCAATATAAAGTTGTCTTCAGGTGTGTTTTTCTGTCCATAGAGCACCAGGCTGCCCTTCTTCAGCTGAAGAGAGAATGCAAAGAGGAGATGGAGAAACTGCACGTAAGTTCAATATTGAATTTAATAATGCTCAAGGAAGGTTTGCTGTGGTCATTTTGATGGGGAGATTCAGGATGTGTGAGACAGTGGACAGTGTGCTTATAATCCCTCCTGCAGTAATTTTCATATCCTCATTTCTTGCCTGATACGTCACTGGTTCTCCCATTACTACCGAATTGCACTTGGCAAAGAAGCTGTCAAAATGACAAGATGGCTGGCTGCCTGAGACAAACATGAAAAATCTCAAGAAGGAAGGAAAAAATCAGTCTCTGTTTTCCAACAGGACCTGAAACAAGCACATGTCATAGATAATTGTGAGGCAGATCCTTTTGCATTGTGATACAAACAAGAAAATGACCTTGTCTTCTGAAAAAGTGGGCAGCACAAGACAGATGTAGCAACACAATGCCAAAAGCAAATTGTATTCTTTGAACTGAGTTGTACTGCAATCATTTTAATGGGATAGTTGAACTTCCCTCATTGCCTTTGATGTAACAGAGAGAGCATGAATTAGCCTTGCAGTTATTTTCAACCACACTAGATGTCACTAATGATGAGGTGAAAAATTCCCTTCAAGTTCCCATCTGCTGAGCCAGTTGCTGATGGGAGATACTTACGTCAGTGCTCTATTTTAAGCAGAATGTAGAAGCTTTGGTTTAATAGTGCAGAAAATGGCTAGCTAGTAGCATAGACAAATGCAGGCAGGATGTGCACATACAGATATATACACATATTGATATTATACACAGGTGGCATGGTTCTTGATTGTGTATTTGTTTAGATAAATATTATTTTAACATGTAGTCAGAGGATAAGGGTAGTATATCTTATGTTATGTCTAGATTTTTAGCTTTTCTCTCTATGCATTGCCTGGTGCACAATCCATGTTATTTGACTTTACATTAGACAGTGCTCATCCAGACACCTGAGCACCCCTTTCCCTTATTGTAATCATGTTGATTGTGAAAGAAGGAGGTCGTAGTGATGTCGTAACAGCTTCCAGATGGAAATTCTTAACTTCCTCAAAGTTGCTTGAGTGAAATGAGATCGCTCCTTAGTATGTGGGATTTCGTAGCCATTACCAAGCTGAATGTATCCAAAAATTTTATTCTTATATTGTTATGGCTAGATCTGTCTCTTGCATGGTTTAAATGCTTACATTATTGTTGTAATATATTGCTTGGAATATCCCTGTTACTTATTGAGACGCTGTAAGTAATATAAGCTTGTATTCATGCATTTGTGGATAGCTGTAATGCACCGTTTGTCCAATAGAACCATTGCTTCCAAGAATAAGAGGTAAAGTTTCCCGGGAGAAGTGTAAAATATATTTGATTTGAGTCCTGCCTCTGAGATTAGCACTGAGTTTATCATCCTATAAATGGTACAGGAAAACATTGTCTCCAGATTATTTATGGGAAAACCCAGGTTACAGTGTAAGCAGTAAAATATTGTTATTTTATTTTTAACGTTGCTTTCATGTTTTGCGTAACTGTAAAGTTCTACAGTGTGAATGTAGTAAATAACAGTATTCAAAACATGTTGGGCATTCCCAGTTTCAGTTTTAATAACTAGCTTTTCAGAATCATAAAAGAATCTACATTTGGGATTTTCCCTGTGTTGACCTTAGGGGTTTTATAAAGGGCATTCATTTTCAGATGAACTTCAGACATTGCCGACAGACAATTTGTTGGCCCCCAGGGACATCAAGATTGCGTTACTTCAGTGCTGGTGTTTTCTGGCTTATTTTGCTTGCGTGCTTCATTGAGTCACTTTCAGAAATCAAACATGATATTGACATTCATAAACATAAACCGAAACACTGGGAAAGGACTGGAACGTGCCAAACACAGCTTTGTGCTGACCGCACTCTAACGAGGAACATGTGTCATTTCTATTGCTAAATTGTTTCCTTCCAGCCCAGTCTGCTGTTCAGTCTGACTGCAAGCACATTTTGCACGCATACTCAAAAAACCTCATCATTTCAAATATGACTGCGTTATTTTCATGTTCCAAACATTCAATAAACATTTGGCTTATAAGTCTTTGTTTGTGTTGTTTGGTTTGCCTTACTTTTCTTTCATAAAAAGGTTGTGCCATTGAAAGGAATGTACCACAGTGCTTAAATGGTGAAATCATTTTGGTCAGTTTTATGCTAGAGGAAAAGTGCTTGTCTCATTCTAGCTGTGTTGACAGTATAGAATTCTGCATGAACTTCTACTGATTCTGTGAATTTCACTTGGTGTTTGTCAATAAGCATACTTGACTGTACTTGTTTACCCATTTTTTGTCATCTTCCATTGCTGAAGACCAGTTCCAATACTAAAAACTGAAGTTCAGAGGACAGTAAAAATCCCCGCCCCAGTAATTTTTCCCCGCCTTAAATATCAAGGATGCACTGGTTACATCCTTGCTAAATGAGAACAACCCCATGATTCATTGTGTCCCAAGTTAGTTTTTGGGAGGCAAGTTAGCAAGACCGCTTTTGCCAAGACCACAAGTATCTTTGCATTTTTAGTACTGAGATGCACCTACTGTGTAGACCTGCATGCACATCATGATTTATCTTGGCAGCCGCCTTGCCGCAGCGACTAATGCAGATTTCCCTTTCCATCATTCAGGCCGATTTCCAGCTCAAGATCTTCGAGTTGCGAGGGGAGCATGCCGCCTCCTTGTCCAAGCTGGAGGCAGCTATTGCCAAAATGCAGCAAGAAAGGGGCTGTGAGCCAGGCCAGGAGCGCAGTTTGACACGTGAGGCCTGTGTCTCCACAGAGGATGACCTGCCTAAGAATTACCGGAATGTGTGCGTCCAGACAGACCGTGAGACTTTCATCAAAACACCCAAGGGTGACAGTGGCCAGGTCACCCAGGCCACAGGCCAGAACATGCCGAAAAAGCTTAACCTCGAGTCCATCAACCAGAGCCTTGTGGGTAGGGCAGAGTCAGATTCTGGGAATATCCCACCCCCTCCACCTCCACCCCTGCCTGGCCAATCAGGACCACCTCCCCCACCACCCCCCCCACCACCTCCTCCCCCATTACATGGTTCTCTACAGCCACCCCCACCACCAGGGCCAGGGCCCCCACCTCCCCCTCCTCTTCCTGGGGCAGCACCCCCTCCACCACCTCCACTGCCTGGAGCTGGGCCCCCTCCCCCACCTCCTTTGCCTGGAGCTGGGCCCCCTCCCCCACCTCCTTTGCCTGGGGCTGGGCCTCCTCCTCCACCTATGTCTGGAGGAGGTCTCCCACCACCGCCCCCTGGTGGACTGTTTGCCTTCAACCATGCAGCGGAGAAAGCCCCGCGTAAGCCAGCTGTGGAGCCCACCTGTCCCATGAAGCCCTTGTACTGGACCCGGATCCGGATCCAAGACAACAAGTATGTACCCACCTTCCAAGAATGGCACTACAAATTTGTCTAAGATGTCGACCCGGCTATGATGGGCCAGTGGCCTTGGGGGGCAGGCCTATCATGTGGAATCATTATGGTCCTCTAGGGATTAAGGGAGAAAGCAGAGGACTCCTTGATTAAATGATTTGAGTCCCAGGCTGGCAGCCAACTGCTCATCCAGTGATAGTGGTTTCATGTCTGCCATTAATTTTCCAGATGAAGCACAAGTCAACATGCGAAATTTGGTGTGTAACTCAGACATATTGTGCTGTTAAACTGCTGTGGTCCTCTGACCAAACTTCTATGGGAAACTACAGGAGAGCATTGAACACCTTAAACAGTGCCGGGCATATGTGCTAATCTGCCTTTTATGAGCTGTGTGAAAATATATATACAGTTGACTTTTTGTAAAGGACTTGTACTTTACACTTTACGAGTGAGCTGTACATGGCAAATGTGAATTAAATTAAAACTTGGCTCACACACATACATATACTGAACACTGTAAAAGTTAATTTTTTTGTAAATGTGTATAATGGTATAAAAAGATTTGTCTGCTGCGGTTCCATGGGAGCCAGCCTGAGGTCCACACAATATTGCAAAGTGGTTCCTCTGTCATAGGTTTTTAGATGATATTCATAAGTGTGATGGCATCCTTATTTGCTTAGGTAGAACAATTCTGGTCAGTTTAAGACCATTTCCAGCTGCTAAAATTTGTAGATAGTTGGGTTGAGTGGTATCATAAACCTTTTCAGTGGCATTCGACCTGTGATCCATTATTAAATCGCTTATGGTCTTTGGGTCAAATTGCCTGTCCTACTTTTGTAATACAGGCTGTTTTCTGTGATTAGTGTTTATGATGACTTTCGTGATAATGGTGATTGCGCCTGTGTACTTCAGAAGGAACACCAAGTCACATTACACAGGGCAGGACATGGGAATAGTAAGTAAGTGGTATGGGAAGAAGAGCTGAGTGAAAAAAATGTAGCCACCAAATCAGAAGCACATTTGAACAGCTGTGCCTTGTTTTATTGGGTGTGATGAGAGTTGGTGTACAAGCAGGGAATATGGCTTTGGGTGCAATTCTGAGAATCTGAGAACAGCTCACTCTAAGCTGAAAATGGTCAGATGTGAAATATTAAGGAATAATGAGAAATGTCATATCTCAAAGTAAACCATTGGTCTGAAGATTAAAGTGCTTTGCAAAATGCAAAATGGACTATGGACATGTACAGAATCAAAAGTATATCAGTTCCCTTATCTGCCCACTGAGGAGAGAAACATGCCATCTGGGGCTATATTACAAAGTACACAGTCATACTGAGGCAACAGCATGTTGTTGAATATTACAAAAAAGCTTATGGTGCTGTAACATAGTTCTAAATACCATTAAGGGGTGGGCAGAGCAGTCATCTTGAAAAATGACGTTCGTGCAGGAAATTGGGTCACACAAGGATGCGTAAAATAATCCCTCATGGGCCCCTAATGCACCTGATCACAGAGAACTAGCCAAGTTGCACCAGGCCAGCCTTGATTCTGCCTGATCTAGGTCACGTCTAAATGGCACTCTACTTTCATTAGCGAGAGCTGTAGGGGTGTATCACTTATCATTGCTTGGAGTCTCTGCATTCCCTGCACTGTATTTTTTATGTGAAGAGGAATGGAAAACAAAGGTAGGGAGTTGAGACTAACCTCTGTGAGACTTCTGTTCAGACCATCTGACTCCCTGTGTTTGTTTCTGAAGTTACTCGGCAACCAGAGAAACCAAATACTCCACTTCTTCTCAGAAGCTTGTTTTAAATGCTTTTTAAAAAATGAAATAAGTCACCTCTGAAACCTACCAACCCGTGAATTCTCAGATTGAATCTTAAGCAATAAATTGCTCATTTTAAGTGGGTATTTCTGGTCTTCGTTTTCTTAGTGTGAATCTGCACTCAGGAAAATGTCAACTGAGGCTCAAAAATGGAAATAAACAGTGAACAGCTTGAGTAAACATTGCATAAACCGCAACAAGGTTGTTTATCTCTCATGGGGTTTAGCTTGGCCTGAGATCACATTGTTGTTTTCAGTAAGGGCAGTAAGGCACTGTTATCCATATGGATAACTTTTTAAGGAAAGTTATGAGGTGAAGCGTATCACACATTTGTAATGGCTGTCTCCAAGTGCTTAAATCAAGGCCAGGCTGAACCCCAATGTTCCTTTCTCCCTTCAGCAACAATACCCTCTGGGGTTCTCTGCAAGAGCCAGACATCATCAACACAAAGGAGTTTGAGGACTTGTTCTCCAAAGCCACCCTGCAGGCAAAGAGGAAACCCTTATCCGACACTTATGAGGAAAAAACCAAAGCTAAGAAGGTGGGTCTATAAAATCTTGCCAGTAGCCACCTATCTAGTAACTCGGATCTGGTCTGGTTTTTCAGCAGACCTCATTTCAGACCAAGGCAATGAGTTAGAATTATGAGACTCACATGTACAGTATGGAGATTTTAGCATTGAGGCCTGGGGAGGGGTCGTTGTACATGGGCATCTCATTTTCATTAATGGAATGAGTTGGTAGCCACTCGCTATTGAGCTTTGGAGCTAGTTGCTTGACTGTTCCTAGAGCTTTTTGGTGCTACCTGAAATGTACAAAGCAGAACAAAAGAGCACAGGATGGATGTTACAGTGCAGAAACAAACCACCTGGCCTTGGACTTTTGTTAGTCTCACTTATCTTCATAGTCTGCTTTGCTTTGGCAGCAATTTTACAGCTGCCACCAGAGGGCGAATTGGGTCTGTTCTGGTAAGCACTGCAAGAATTGGTGTAGCACAAAAACTCTATAGCATACCTTTAACCTTCAGTGTGAAGGAAAGCATGTTTCCTTACCGTTTCAGTTTTGGCCATCAAGTGGACAGGTATTCCAAGCAGAAAGGCTTCAGGATCCCATAACTAATAAAAGAGATGGAGGATAATGTTGTTGCTTTGTGGTTTTACTCTTCTGCGTTTGCTTTCATTGTGTCATTTTGATGTGGCAGATTTTCTCCTCCATTTTTTCTTCTAAAGCAGCCAACTGTCTTGTCGCCATCTTTATAAGCAGCTGCAGATGTAATGCATCTGATTTATTATTGGTTGGTTCACAGTGTACATAAAATTCTGAGCTGTGAGTTTTATTGTTTGATTTAATCTTTTTTCAGCTAATGGCTGTAGCAATTACGTGTTAGGAGGATCTTGTTTTGGCATCAAGAGTAAATAATGAACTGTATTTGGATAACACTGGGTTCCAGGCAGCTTCTTTTGGACTCAGCTGTGCGAGACAGCCAGTTCATTATGCTCTATTTTTGGGTGTAATGTCAACCTAAACATTGCTCATCTTCTGTTTGGTCAGGATTTAGATTGCCTTCCATCCCCCAGTAGACCCACCTCTAAATTCTGGTCAGGGAATGGCAAAAGGGCAGGTGACGCATTGCCGCCTTCTACCCGGCCTGCCAGCATCTTCGTCCCATGCTTGGCTCCTTACAGTTTAGAGCCTAGTTTACAAGTATTTCAGCCTTAAATGGAATCAGACTCATAGAAGGCACAATGTGCGCCAGCTCCCTGTCTGCATGCGGATCCTTTTACCCTTTCCTGCTTTCCCTAGCAGTCTCATCGCTGGAGTGTGTGGTGCCTTTTTGATAGCCAAGTGAGCTGAGGATCAGAGAGGCATTATATACCACACCTCAGGAGAAGCCCCACAAGACCCAGGTCCACAGTGCGCATACAAGCCAGTGACAGCTTATAAACTAATCCATACAAAGCCTAGGAATAAATTTCTGTTTTATGGTTTCTTGTTAGCTGTCAGTAATAGTGTTGTATCTAGATACTTTCGTGACCTTTACTGAAAAAATGTTTTTAAGAAAGCCTAGATTTCATATACATGTTTTTTTCGAATCTGGCTAAGATCTGTAGTATAACAAGAAATCATTTGGTTCTTTGAATTGGAGCATAGGTCTGAATAACAAAAAAGGTGTTGGAGTGGGAAAGTTAAATCTGTAATTGGACACCTGTAAATGTGATTGAGATGAAGATTTAGAACAATGACAGTGTGAATAGGAAAATACTGTTTGTGAGATTCGATTCTCCTGTTTCCTCTGAGAAGTAAGCTGATTTGCTGTCCGTTATGTCAACATGTATCATTTATTTCAGACATCCAAAGCCACAATACTTCCTTACTGAAGAAGTGCACCGTAGGGCCTGTCTGAGTAACTTCCCACTATCAGAGATCTGGCATTTTGTCTTTGCGACAGAGGTCTTTTGCAGTGACTTGTTACCATGGTGCAATCAGAGTCGTTCATTGGCACATCAGCACATTTTCTGTGGAGATCCATGCAATTCAGGAGTATCCGTTGGCTCGTCTACCCCCTCTCAATCCATCTGCACCCTGGATCAATCTTGCAGGGCTCCAGGTTGGCCCGTGTCTCTGCAACATGTCTGGTCACTCCAGGCAGGTCCATAAAACCCCTCCGGCCTGACACCTGATACAGCCCAGGTAGCCATAGACATCCATACCTTCAGCTTTTTCCACAGCCCTCGGTCTGCATCATTGGCTGGGCCTGGAATCCTCATTTTTCCCACAGCACTGACTTTTAGCCAAGTTCAGTTGTGGATCGTGGGGCTCTCGCATCATGAATGATGCATGCGTGTGAATGTGTGCTTCATCATTGTACCCACAAGAAACTTTGATTTCAGTGAAACAAAAGCAGAAATATGGTGCTTCCCTTGACAGGACTACCAGAATACAATCAGACACTACAAATGTACGTTCTTGTGGTTAACCAGAGAAATGTTGTACTTTAAAATGGAAAGGAATACTTTATGCTGGCTGGGGTATGCTGACGGGCAGTGGGAAGCATGTGTTTTTAGTCAGGAAGGACAAGGTCTTTGCTTCAGGTCTCACGGTAATTCACCAGCAAAAGCCCATGGGAAAGAGGTTTATCAAAGGCTGAGAAACTGTTTCAACTGAGAAACTCAACATGGAGAGCATTGCTTTCCAACAAGCCCCCCACCTTCTGCCCATTCCTCTATTTTCCATAACTGTTTATCTTGCTAAGGTTATGCTCAAATTGAGGTATTGGAGCTTGAGCATGCCTAAGCCCATCTTGAATGAGACTACAGCACACAGACACTCATAAGAGTGCACTCACGTAATCACGTACTCAGTGCAGTTGTCAGTCACTCTTTCACCTAAACACGTCTTTTGGATTGTGGAAGACAGCTAGAGAGCTTGGCGGAAACCCACGCAAATGTGTAGATATGGAAAATAAGCCTACAGTTGCGTTCATCTTACCTTCTTCACATTGATGGATGGGATTTTGTGGCAGCAGAGAGAAGAGGCAAACCAACACCTGGGAGTTGTATAAAATAAAGCACAGCTCTATATCAGCCTTTGGGTGACTTTTATGAATAGGTCCTGGGTCTGCATGGGGTATTGAATGTCATATCGTCCCTGACGTAGTCTGTGCAATCTGAACCCAGATATGGGTTGCGTAGGTGGACCAAAGCTGACAGCCAAGCTACAAGACTGAGCACTCTACTGGTGCTGAGGCCACTGAACGCTGCACTGTTTGGGCCAAGCATAGCTGTGCTGGCCTCACATCGATTGCGGAGGATACATTCCCGTAAATGCAGAATGGGGGGGGTTATTTGGCTCTCCAACTTTTGGCAAACCAGCGCATTTGCGAAAGCCAGCTAAACAAAACTATGTTGTTTACATTATCATCCTTTATCTGTGGAACTTGTCCTCCAAGGTATGAGGTCCTACGTGCGGTTGCTGCTAGTCATGGGGTTGGAAAGCTCAGAACATCTGACTGATGGGGAGCAGGGTGACTGTGGGGGTGGGGGCTAAGGGGTGATATTCCACTAGCCATTTCTCCTCCTCACACCTCTACAGTCCCACAGCTCCAGACTGGGCACAGACACACGGTCAATTGAGGGAGAGACATCTTTCCTTACTTTGCACTGTCTGCCCCCCCCAGGAAGTCTGACAAGCCAATTTTTCTGCCACTGCCATCGATACTGGTCAGGCACTCTCAGCTCACAGATCAATCTCAAGTGAAGTCACCAAGTGAAGAAAAGCATGTTCTCTCAATAGAGATCTTCGCTTGTGTCATTTGGACCCTGCCATTTAGTGCAGGAAGAGAAATAGATGGCAAATGTTTGCACTGTGGAAGTTTGCTACTTTCTTATGTCTCTTCTAGAGGGGCACCAGGGCCATCCCTAGTCCTTCACCTAGGACATGTTATGCAGTCCAAGTAGGGGTGGTACCAAGGCAGGAAGGGGACTAATTTATGTTATGTACAGTACACAAGCTACACTGTGATTTACCCCAAAAGCTGTACATTGAGGTAATGAAGCTTCATAACCCACAATCAGTAACATCACTATATACTTGTGGGGTTTTGGTCTTAATTTATGCTGAATTTTTATATGCGAACTTGGAGCAATGTTGTCTATTAATACCCACGCTGCCCGTTAATGACATATAAATGGCTAGTGTTTACCTAGCTGACAGATTTTTGCACATAGGATTTAGTAAGGTAAGGGAATGCAGACGTAATGGAAAATTGCAGGGAATTTTGTGAAAAGAAGTTAATGAACTAGACTGGTTTTTTATGGTTTGAGTCACAATCAAAGGTCACTTTTTGTTTTTTTTTGAGAATTCCTTATCCTTGTTCTGCAGCACAATTTTACTACAACCATCAGCCTCTGTGTAATTGTTACTTACAGTTTGCAGTGTTTTTGGATGTTTTCATAGCTCATTTTAAAAGAACCACACTCAAGTGGGATGGAGTGATGGCTCTGAGGCTAGGGATCTGTGCCAGTAATTGGAAGGTTGCTGGTTTAAATCCCGTGAATGCCCAGAGTAATTTTACTCTGTTAGGCCCTTGAGCAAGGCCCTTAACCTGCAATTGCTTCATCCTGGGTATGATGTTAATATACATCCAGCTCTATAAGGAGGTCCTCCAGCTTACAGGGAATATCTTGGGGGTTAGTGGCAGGACTGGCACTCCTGCCACCAGAAAAAGACTTGCACTGGTTCATTCAGACTAGTGTGGTGCTGAGGTATCACCTGCCACATGGCTGCACTCAGGTATTCATACCTGAGGTAGTTTGTCATGTGGTGGGTATGGCAACGCACTGTAATCAGTGCATGCTGCTTACCTCCTCTCAGTCTGCTTTAAGTGGACCAGAAAGTCAGCCAAGAGAAAGAGAACTTAGTTGTCATTGAATTCACATTGTCCATCACCTTTCAAAAGCACTTGGTTCACTTTCAGGTGCACTTCAGCTTTTATGTGGTCCATTTCACAATCACACTCAGTTCTTTTGGACACCAAAATGAGCATAGAGTCATTTCTTCCTCAATAAGATGGTTGTGCCTGTGTTGGCAACACACGATTTCTTTTAGTTTTGAAATATTTAAACAGAGACAAAGACCACAACAACAAAAATCAGATGTTATCATGCAACAAAAAACACGTCTGCGTAGACTGGGACGGTTATGGAGGAGAAAACGTACAGTATGCTCCAGCAATATCAAGTAACCTCGGGTTTACTTTTGATGCTACTGACAAGCCTTGTGTCATTCTCACTTGAAACATATAGTAGGTATCAAAGTAAAGGTGGACTGCCATCAGATTTTACAAAATTTATTTCATTTAACTACTAAAGACTACTGTAAATTATTGTAATCTGTTTGAAGAATAATGTGTGTCATAATAACGTGTTGAGAGTTGTGACATCAGCACTGTATGGTATCCCATAGTGGCCAAAAAGTATAGACAAGAGCAAAGCGACCTGGGTGCACTTTCTGTTCAGATATCATCAGCAAATGAACCTGCTAAGTGGACTCAAAACGAACCAAACTCAAACGAACCAGCTCTTGAGGGGGGTCTGAGCTCACTATGAACATTCACACATGGCCCACATGGCAGAGGAAACGCACCAAGTCCACTTAAATTGGCTAAATCGTGCCAAGTCTGAAAATACATTTAAACTCGTTTCTCCCTAGTTTCCTGTGGTTATAAATTTTGGCTTGACCTTCACCTGTGCAGTGATGAGATGGCAATGCAATAAATGTCCACTGGAGGGGGCTGTTAACATTTTTTCCAAAAAAGAATTACAAGCAAAAACGACAGTTAAAAAAAAGAACTGGACAAGTTAGGTAGCCAAAGAAATTGGAAAAAAAAGTCCTCTACTAGATAGCCATTGAAAGGTTTGGTTTGTGCAATTTTCTGTCTGCGAAGGAATGTAGAGAAACACCTCATTGGGGCCCAGAGTGAGAGCTGTTGATTAAAGGTGCTGTGGAATGACTCTTTCGTTCACATTTCTCCTCCTATGTCTGAGGACACCGGGATCACTGATGATGCTGGTAATGGCGGTCGAAGCAGCATGCTTTCTTGCCTCCTGTAATGCAATACTCACTTCTAAGGCTTCCCTCCCACTTTCCCACTGGACGCCTCAGTAGCCGAATCACAGTAATAACGGGGACTGCTACCTAATGAAGAAACTGAAACATTAACTTTTAAAGCAGGGCTTTACCTTGCCAAAAACTGTTTCTAGCTTTATGGGTAATTCAGTCGTTAGTAATTGTGACCATCTGTAGGCACAAGTAAAAATCCCGTGAATTTATAGTTTGTTATAAAACCCTGGCCTGCTCGTCCAGACTGAAAAGATGTCCTTTTATGGTTTGATTTTTTTTTTCTTTAACTTTCCGGCTGCCTAATATTTTTATTATATCAGATTTTGGAGACATGCAAAGTTTTGCGCAGGTATTAAGTTTTGCTTGCCGTTCCCCAGGGACTAGCTCGTAAACCAAAATCATTCAATAAGGCTGACCTCTTGCATGAACATCCCCACTGCTGTCCAGTCTCCGCTCGTCTGGCCATGCAGGAGGGCCGTGGAGAATCCCAGCAGTGCTTGGGTTTGCCTAGGGCTGGGGGTCAATTCATAGGTCACAAGAAGATGTTCAAATTACACTCCACCGGGGGCCCTCAATTACAACGCCCCCCAACACCCACCAGCAGGCACTCCATAGTGGATGCTCTGCCAGGTCTGTCCGGAGATGTGGGGGGGCATAAGAGGCTGTCCTCTTTAACCTCGCTGGAGGCAGGCTGTTCTACCCTTCTGCGGAGGTCCTGTGGGTCAAGGCATGCAAGGGGGTGCATAGTAATGTATCCTAATACAGAACTTCACACATTTATCCGCTTATGATTTCCACTGTTTTGCTCTGTTGGAGTTTTGCCTGAAACACGGCTGCTGTTTATTTTTTCCCTAAAAAAACATGAATCCATGAGTTTTTGTCACTGGGGTTAGTAACCATGTTGAAAGTCTCTGAGAAACCTACACACGGAACGTAATTATTCCTAAAAATAAAAGTTTCTCTATGAGACGTTGCTGCTTGAAATGTAGTACATTTAGCATTCAAATTGGTTCTTACCTACTAAACTTTACTAAAGCAATTCCAACCAAAAAAAAAAAACTTAAAAATGAAGTTTTTTTAATACAAACCTTTTAATCGGTATATTAAAGTTAAGTGGTTTTCTTAAACTTGTTTTTGCACATTTTTAATGGATAAAAGTTTGGCGATTTTGCTCCCAAGTGAAGCTTTTTGAATTTACGGAGATGGGTATGTGCCCAAAGTTCTAAAAATTTCAGCTGTTTCATCCAAGCTTTGATGGTTTTATTTAAGTGCAATCGTCCCAATTATTTATGACAACCAGTGCCCAGTGCCACTCAAACTACAAATGTTCTTGGATTTCATTTACTATAGAGCTTGCTGAGAGTGAAATAAAGTCTTTATCCTTGTTAGATTGTCAAGCTGTTGGATGGAAAGCGCTCCCAGGCTGTGGGAATCCTTATTTCAAGTCTTCACCTGGAAATGAAGGACATACAGCAAGGTAAGGCCTGCCTTGGTGGGTCAGCCTGCCCTCCCCCCCCCCCCCCCCCAATCCCCATGTTAGCTACATAGTCGCTGTTGTTTTACTTGTTGACCCTTGACGTTCAATGATGTATATTACTTTACATTGTAAGGGCTCAGGGTTAATTGATATTTGAAGTGATCCACTAGTTACTGTGCAATGAGCATGCCTGTCAGCTCTTCCCCTTCTTTCTGTGAGTGGAACACAGTTCTTTCTGACCTGTAAGTGGAAGACAGTTCTTTCTGAATTGTTCTGGCCTGCTTGAATGAAACTACATCAGCTATTATCCATTTCATTTCATTGGCTTGCGCACTGCAAAGACTGGCCAAGTACAAAGAGGTTTTTCTCAGTCTCTTGAGGCTTTGAACTTCTTTAAACATTACATGCGGAATATTTGTGCAAGAGGAAAGATAGTCTCTGCATAAACCTTTTCAATTAGAAATAGTGCTTTGCTTTTGGGTGTATCTTTCAGTAAAGTGAATTTTTTTTCTTTTTTGTACTTATATGTGTGGGTTTAAAGTCCACTAGGGGGCGCATGACACAGCAGGCAATTGACCAGGTGGAGAAATTGGTGGGACGGCACACGGGTGCCTGGCAGTCTGGGAGCCGCCACCACTGCCGCCATGGGCCCCCTTTGCCTAATGGGAGCGACACCCTGCTAATGATCTGACTGCATATAAATCCCCTTTGGCAGCTAGCGGGGACCACGCCGCCACATAAAACACACCCAACACAAGCCCAGCAGCACGTTGGGCCAAGCTGCGGGTGTTGATTTCCCACAACCCCCCCCCCCCCCCACATCTAAACTACAATTGGTGCCGAAAAAAAAATATCCCAAAAAGCGCCAACGCTCACCCTGCATGTGTTAACTTCCTACTGCTATAATGGGAAGGTGTAGGTGAAATGGACATTCTGATTGTGACACTGCAGAAGAAGCCACTAATAATTACTTTAACCCACCTTTTTGATGGGAAATTAAAAGGACATGAGACTTACAATGTAATTACCACCACTCACGAGCTGCGATTTGGGTGGGTGTTGTTGAGGAAAGAAGAGCGCCATTACTGTTCCTCTTCTGGGGGGGTTGGAGGCTATGCATGACTGGCAGGTTAAGAGGCAAGATTGCATTTTCCATTTTATTTCAACATGGCAAACAGCCAGTTTGGACCCAGGTCTGTTCCAGATGCATACCTCTGAGCTTGAATCGTACCATGCTAAGTCTTCATATACAGCTTGTTTGTCCCCGTCTCTAATTTAAAAACAGGGAAACCATGGATTTGGAAATGGATTTAGGATTTAGTGAGTGCATAAAATCTGTATTCTCAGCATGCCCTGTACATACATATATGTCCAACGGCTAATGGAAGCGGAGACTACCTTAGCCTCCCCAGCTTTCTCTAAGCAGTGGCTGTGCCTTAGTTCTGGGATGGGAGTCAGTTGTCGGCCTCCCTCTGACAAACAACACCACACTTTCATTGTTATTGTAACTGGCAGAGCTTAGTTTGCATGAACTGGTGTTGGCGGACGCAGGTTAGAGTGGCCAGGCAAGCCACAAGCAGACCGCAGAGAACCCCACCCCCAGAGATCATTACTGCAAGCTGCGGTGGTTCCTGCTGCAGGTCTAGGGGTTAAGCAGTTACAGGCTCTCTCCTATGACCCGTGGCCAAGAGGCTTAGTGCCCTGCATGTCGATTAGCAGGGAGACACCGTGTGCGGCTCCACTTCTGAACCTTGTGGAGCAGCGGACACGGCATCCACGTTGTATGACAGGATCAGTCACTGAGGTTTTTGTATTATTTACATTTTTTAATTGCTAAGATATGGAAGTCAAGAAAGGCCATGAAATTTCATGCATTTTTATACCATTTTCTTGTGATAATGGAATAAATTTCTTGAGATCTCAAGAAACGAACATTGTTTTCTAACGATAAAGGAAAAATTACAAAGATAAACATATAGTCTAACATTTAGTATATTACTGGCACAGTGTGTTCTTGATGACGTTATCCAGTTTGAAATGGCAATAGAGCTGGAATATAATGATCACCATGTCACATTTTTTGTTTAATCAAGGCTTAACGCAGGCCGAAATAGCCTTGCTTTAGAAAGTTATGAACATTAGTGTTAGTCATCTACGAAGAAGGTTAGCAAGTCTTCAGCTTAATAGGTGTCAGTATAATTCAGCCTGATTAATTGTTCAGTAGTTGATTTGTATCATTTTATTTAGAGTCTCCTCCAGTATTCCTATGTCTTGGAAGGAAGTAATGGTGCAACTTAATGAATAAAGCACATAGCCTTCACTGCCACAGGATTCCATCCAGCCATTTTCTATATCCACTCATCCTCTGCAGGGTCACAGAGGTCCAGAGCCTATCCCAGAAGGTACAGGCACAAGGCAGGGATTACCCGGGATGGGGCACCAACCCATCAGTGCACATACACATTCACACCTTTGGCAATTTAACAACTCAAGGAGAACACACAAACTCCACACACATCCAGCTGGGGCAGAGCCTCGAACCCTGGTCCCAGAGGTGTGATGCAGTAGTGCTAACCTACTAGCATTTATTTGTATTTGCTGTGGCAATTTGAACACTGTGTGTGCCTGGCAAGATATGGAGATATACCTCAAATGCCTTGTTCCTCCACGCTGCAGTGTAGGACAGTGTTTCTCAGAACAGTTCTTAGGGACGCCCAGTCAGGACTGGCTTGAGAAACACTGATGTAGGATATAAAACCTGTTGACTCTTTGGCTGTCACTGGTATGGTACAGGAAATACCATGACTGTATGCATTTATCCTCTTTTACTTTGCAGGGTAAAAAAATCTGCACGGTTTCCAAATGTAGGCAGCAGTTAATTGGGATAGCATGCTTGCCCGAATTCCCCTTTATAAGAGAATGCCTCTAATAAACACATTTACTGTTCCAGCTGTTCTGACTGTGGACCACACTGTGGTGGACTTGGAGACCATTGAGGCCTTGTATGAAAATGTAAGTATAGCAGAGCACTTAATCCATCAGGTCAAGAGACAGAAGAGAGCTTCAGTTTATTGTGTCAAGGTATATTAATATTCGCCTGCTCTATGGCTATGGTTGCTCTAGCATTATGTCACATTTTTGTGTTATTGTCACCTTCGCCTCCTCCTTGACATCCCCTCGTGCTGGTAGCCTGTTTTTCAGGGAAATTGTCCCCCGTTTTTTTCTTACTATGTTTTTTTCCTGATGTCTCCCTCTCACCACACCCTCCCACTGCAGCGAGCACAGAGCGATGAGCTGGAGAAGATCAAGAAGCACCATGAGACCTCTGGTGAGGAGGCAGCCAAGCTACTCGACAAACCTGAACAGTAAGCAGCTTTTGTGGCTGGAGACAGGGCACCTCAGACCCTGACTGCAGCAGCACACAAAACAAGGGCATATTCTAGCCTGTTTAAGCTAGCTATTCTTATACTTCATTCTTGCCGGCGTTAGAAACTGTACGGAGGAGGGTAATTTTTCAGCAGAGTTCACTGCTTTCTTGAGGCAGAGCTCTCAATTAATCATGAGCTTCTCCATTCGTCAGTGAAATGCCTTAGTGTGATACTGTATATAAACAGCGCTTAGCAGGGCTTACGAGGCTTTTTTTCCCTTTGCGTGTTTACGCTGTCAGTAGCAAGCCAAACACCTCCGCTCCGGCTCTGACGTCAGTTTCCTGTTTGTTCCACCTTCCTGGAATGCTTACTGTCTTACAGTGCAGTCCGCTCCGTGTCATGGGGTGGGACTTCACAAAATTTAAAAGGTCCATCAATGGCCACAGTTAGCGCAAAGGTGCATTGTGAAAGTTTCTCACCGGTGCCTGCCTGTCTCCTCAGAGCGTATTATTTTGATTGGTTCCATGCTGGCCCTTTGCAATAAAGGCAGCTCAACTAGCCGCCCGGTCGTGGTGGAGCTGCCATGTTTGAATTAGCTGTCACAGAGAATGAGTCATATCCCCTTACTCTCTAACTACATCAACAGACTAATCACTGAGGATATTACTCCTTTTCTCAAACATGCTTGTGTTTATGTGAACTTTGCTGAGTTGGTTGGATGATCAAGGAGTGATGAAGCACTTTTTAAAATTATTATTATTACTATTATACCCAGACGCTGCCCAAGACCCTTCACAATATCAGAACAGGATGTCTTGTTTGATTCCATTCTTTTGTCCAAATATGTAGTGTTTAAGTAAATTGGGTCACTTAAAATACATCTATGTGTTTTCTAATGGAGTGATAACTGGGGTTGCTGAGAGATCCAGGACATTCTGTGTTCTTCTGTATTTTCCCTCATCTGCAGGTTCCTGTATGAGCTGTCCCTGATTCCCGACTTCTCTGGCCGAGCCCACTGCATCATATTCCAGTCTGTCTTCTTTGATGGCATATCTGCTGTCCATCGCAAAGTGGAGATAGTCTCCCATGTGTGCAAGGCAAGACACCAGCCGTGATCCCACCACCTGCCCTTTTACCCCCAGTAGCTTTTAGCTGATCCGCATCTCATTGCCAGTAGCTAGTACCCCTCTCCCAGAGGGTTGTGTGCGTGGCGTTGACCTGCTGACTTTCAGGGCCTGTGATTTGTATCAAGGAACTTGAGATACGACAGAGGAGAGCGCAAGTCATTCTCCTCTTCTGGTTCTCAAAATAGCAAGCTGGCGACCTCGGCCTTTTCCATTTTAAACAATGCATCGCTCACAGTCGCTGCTGTCTGGTAATGTGTGTATTTGGGGGGTCTGGGCAAGGGGGGAGTATGAGTGGGAGAGCGGGTAGAAAATGCTGAGCAAAAAAGCTGGTTTGTGCTCTGATACAGAGCAGAGGCCTAAAGCATGAGGTGACAGCATGGCTTGTGGATTCATGGTTACAATCTGGCCAATGCGCTGGCTGTGCTCAGTTGGTATAAGACTTGTGAGATGTCCATCTGCTTCAGGGCCTACTGGAGCAAGACAGCGTGAAAGAGATTATGGGCTTGGTGCTGGCCTTTGGGAACTACATGAACGGGGGCAACCACACCAGAGGCCAGGCGGATGGGTTTGGTCTCGAGATCCTGCCCAAACTGAAGGACGTCAAAAGCCGGGTAGGGCTTCATTAGCACACCTTGCAGTTTGTTCAGTGGCCCTCCACCCTGCCTGGTGCTCTGCTGTTATTAGGTATGTTTTTCTGTGTTCCAGGACAACCGTATCAATTTGGTGGATTACGTGGTCTCCTACTATCTACGCAACTTCGATGAGGTGAGATGCAATCACTGATGATCCCTAACAGCCCTCTGTCGCTTAACAGCTGTCTGATTGAGGAACTGAGGATTTTGCTTATGGTGGTTAAGTAAGGATAAGCTGTGTAAACCCACGGTAAGCAGTTTTGGATAACAGTAAGGTGATGTTTGATGGGTCTTCTTTTTTTGATTCCCAGCATGTCGGGACAGAGAAGAGCATTTTCCCACTGCCCGAGCCCCAGGACCTCTTTCTCGCTGCCCAAGTCAAGCTTGATGACCTCACAAAAGACATCAGGAAGCTGAAGAGGGATCTGTCTGGTGAGACTCTCCTTTTTAATGCCATTTATATATTGATCATTAGCATCTGTTATCCCTGAGCAAATTTTTCTGTTCGTCTTAAAGAAAGCAAAAGCACATAATTTTATGAGAACAAAAGTGGTAAGAAGCCATTAACTCCTCCAATGCTTCCCACCACACACCCCTGCATTGGTCTCAGTCTGCTGATGGTGTTATTGCATTGGTCTCAGTCTGCTGATGGTGTTATTGCATTGGTCTCAGTCTGCTGATGATGTTATTGCATTGGTCTCAGTCTGCTGATGGTGTTGCTGATCTATCAGCACATGTATTTCTTTTCACAGCAAAGGGGGATCCACCTTAGGAGGCTGATTGTGTTCTGAAATACGAAATGTAACCCGAAGTTAAATACTAACATTTTCAACATGCTTAACTCAATTTTAATGTTCATCCCCTGTAGGACCTCAGCATGGTAGTCCCCCCCTTTCCCAACCCAAATTCTAGGTATTGGTGGGAGTGGGGGAGGGATCAGATTTGAGTCCCACTGACCACACCCACCCCCTTCCTCGTGCCTGTGATTATTTAAATCAGCCAATAACACGCCATATGAAAGCAATTACCTTTTCTGGTCGTTTCCCCCCCATCCTCAGATCGTTGTTAAATCCTGGTCCTCGCTGACCTGCTGGAGAAATACAAAGAGCCCACAAAAAGAGTCCCAGGCCCACCTTGAGCTGTCAGTCATTTATTAGGCTAAACAGGAGCCTCAGAGACAATAAATGTGAAATAAGGGTCTGATCATTTGATCTGTGCACCGAAGGTTCAGGAGTCTGGGCAGGGTGTCCTCAGGGTATTGGCACAGTGCTACAGCAAATTCCCAGCCTTTTGTAGGTTCCTTTTTGAGCATGGCTTAGTGAGCATTATCATTACCAGCAGCTGCTGAAACAAAGTAGTGTACTTCATTAAAGACACACCATTAACAGATTCATTAGAATGGCATTTTTAGTTGTTTTCATGAAGAAGATAATTATGGCATGGCTTAATTGTCTTCCATGTTTGAAATGGTTCTGCTTGGTGGTTCCCACGTCTGCATGACACCAGAGACCCCAAAGCAATGCCTCTACCAAGCCACAAAGCCAAAAAGCTTCCTAGTTGAAGTGAACTGGTTCTGGGTTAGCTGTGTGAGCTCATAATGTCATCCACGTAATGTCACTGCTTTGATTTGAGCCTCATAGATGCATCACCAGCCCACAGGAGAACCTTCCCCAGGGGTCCATCCTAATGGTGCAGCACCCTCTATGCCAGGCTGATTTATCGGCAGGAGGGATGGATGGTGGTGGCGGGAGGGGGTCAGCGCCGGGAGCACCGAGATCTGGGCTCTCAGTGGCTGTTTGTTCAGTGAAGTCACACGGGAGCAGGATGGCCCCGGCCTGCCCACCAGGCCCCACAGCCCTCATGCACTCATTTGTACAGAAACACGATCCCTCCCCCTTTTTGTGTTTGATCTGACCCCCACCCCACCCAGCTCTGACAGGACGGAGACCAGGCCCCAGTTGCATGCCTGTCAGGGAGCTGCCCGCTGCAGGTCTGTGCTTTTCAGAGCACCATAGCCCTGCTATAACCTTGGCAGTCTGTCCTGGCAATGTGCTGTCTGTTACATACACAAAGTGGGACATTAAACTGGTGGTGTTATTTTGTGGTAGAAATGTCTTCTTGACATTGAAAGACAAATCGATGGCATTCGTCTTGTGTCATTGCAAACTGTCAGTACAAACTGGGTCTGCAAATATGCAACATGGGGCAATGCGACTGGGGGAGCGCATGGTCCCGACCCTAAACCTCACAGGAAGTAGGGGAGAATGTTAGAGGGTTATCTTACCAGGTGCTACTCCTGCTGGGAACTGGCATAGCCAATAACATGTTACGCCTTGGAACTTGACAGTATTACAGTGCAGTAACAGTGTAATTGCAATGTAATAGCAATGTAATTGTCTGGCAAAGTAATCCCCCCCACAAATCCCAAACTGTGTGGTAATAACCCAAAAAGGAGCCCTCCCCAGGGGGTGGACTGATGACCACATCCCCGTGACCAAGATGTGCCCCTCGAGGAGAAGCTGCATGTTAAAATGAGTGAAGCGGCCGCTAATTGCAGCAGACAATGAGGCGTGGACATTCTGGGACAAAACAGTGTCACATAAAAACCAGCAGTCAGAACTTGTTTGCTGCTGAAGGGAATTTTAGTGTTTCACAAATGGTCCATGTGAGACTGAGCATTTATCGCTGTGGCAAATCAGGCAGCATCCCTATGTCAGTGCCCTTTAATGTCAGGTCCAGGCACAGCCGTTATGCTGAAACAGTGTATGTGGTGTATCCAGTGTGAACACTTGGTATACGAGGAGGTGCTTAAGATGTGAATGCATGGAGGTGTTATGGACTGTTTATATAGGGAAAAACATAGTGCCAGGACTCATATTTAGAATTTATGCAGGGTAAATATAGTGTTTATGAAGGGTTTATGAACTCTGGGCTAGAATTTAAATAGGACAAAATACCAGGTGGTGTGACTGTTGTCACAAGATGCGTGACGAAGGACATGTAGACCAGCATTTGGCAAACAAAAGAAGGTTTATTGACACAGGGCCAGGAACAGGCAAGACAGGGAACGATAGGACCAACAGGATACATGGGACAGATACCACGCAAGACCAGAGGGGCAGAGCCACCGGACAGGACAGGACTGTACAGGACACATGGCACAACAATGGGTACAGAGCAGGCAGGGGCTGGATCAGGGACCAAAAGGACCAAAGGAAAAATGCCTGATATAAAAGGGGACCAGGGAGCAGCAGAGACAGAGACAGACTGAACCCACCAAGCCTGGGAACACCAGATGGACAAAACCCAGGACACGGGATAAAACACATGACTAGACCAAGGGAAAACCAGGAACAGCAGAGAGGACACCCAACAAGACACACACCAGGGCAGGGCAGACAGGTAGAGGAATCACAGAGATAGGGATAAGAACACAGGAGAGGGCAACAGAGGACACAGGCCAAGACAAAACCAAGGTAGGATAGAGAACTGGGACAGGAATCAAGGTGTGACTAGAGGGAACAGAAAAAGTCCAAGAAGTCTCCTGGACCCTGGGGAACTGGGCAGCAACCCAGGGATGTGGACCCTCCTGAACTTCTTCAGTGGCAAGGCTCATCTGGATCACGAGGGCCAGTGGGGCCGGATGACGACGAGGGGCCACCAGGGCTGGAGCAGGAGGGTGCCGAAGGAACTACTGGGCAGGAGCAGGAGGGTGCTGTGGGAACTGCAGGAGCAGGAGGGTGCTGTGGGAACTGCAGGGCAGAGGCAGGAGGGTACCATGGGAACTGCAGGGCAGGAGCTGGAGGGTGCCATGGGAACTGCAGGGCAGAGGCAGGAGGGTGCTGTGGGAACTGCAGGGCAGGTGAAGGAGGGTGCTGAAGCAACTACAGGGCAGGAGGGTGCTATGGGAACTGCAGGGCAGGAGCAGAAGGGTGCAGAAGGAACTACAGGGCAGGAGCAGGAGGGTGCTGTGGGAGCTGCAGGAGCAGGAGGGTGCTGAAGCAACTACAGGGCAGGAGGGTGCTATGGGAACTGCAGGGCAGGAGCAGGAGGGTGCAGAAGGAACTACAGGGCAGGAGCAGGAGGGTGCTGTGGGAGCTGCAGGGCAGGAGCAGGAGGGTGCTGAAGCAACTACAGGGCAGGAGCAGGAGGGTGCCATGGGAACTGCAGGGCAGGAGCAGGAGGGTGCCGAAGGAACTACAGGGCAGGAGCAGGAGGGTGCTGTGGGAACTGCAGGGCAGGAGCAGGAGGGTGCTGAAGCAACTACAAGGCAGGAGCAAGAGGGTGCCATGGGAACTGCAAGGCAGGTGCAGGAGGGTGCTGTGGGATCTGCAGGGCAAGAGCAGGAGGGTGCTAAAGGAACAGCAGTGCAGGAGCAGGAGGGCACAGAGGGAATTATCCCCCAGGCCATAGTAGGGGATTTGCTAGGGCGGACAGCATTGGACAAGACTCAACCAACCCCCCTTCGGGGCCCCAACCAACATCGCTGATCGCAGTGGGACTTAGGACCGTTATGGTGCAGACTTCAGCCTGAGGCGGGGCCCATGGAGCAAGACTTAGGGCAAGGCCCAGAGGGTCCCATTCTAAGTCCTCTGGCAGAGTATCTTACGTGTCAACCCAACCTGGCCTGGTAGCGACCGGCAAGTCAAGCATCAGCCTGGCAGTGACCAGGGAGTCAGGTATCAGCCTGGTCACGACCTGCAGGGGACAAGGAGGCCACCAAGATGACAACAGGGGGCACAGCAGAGGTGAGGATTGGCTTTGGAGATGCAGCATAGACAAGGATGGGCTCTGGGGGCAGAGCAGAGACAAGGATGGGATGAGTGTGCTCCTGTAGACTGGACTCTGGAGGATCAGGTGGAGCTAGCCCCTGTGGACCAGACTCTGGAGAATCGGGCGGAATGGGCTCCTGTGGGCCAGACTTTGCAGGATTGGGTGAAGTGGGCCCCTGTGGGCCAAACTCTAGAGGCTCGGGACAAGCAGCAGCCCCTCCTGGGCCAGACTCTGGAGGATTGGGCGGAATGGGCTCCTGTAGGCCAGACTTTGCAGGATTTAGTGAAGTGGGCCCCTGTGGGCCAAACTCTAGAGGCTCGGGACAAGCAGCAGCTCCTCCTGGACCAGACTCTGGAGGCTCGGGATGAGCAGCGCCCCCTTCTGGGCCAGGGTCTGGAGGCTCAGTACAAACGCCAACCCCTTCTGGGTCAGACTTGAGTGGCTTGGGATGAGTAGTAGCCCATTCTGGGCAGGGCTCTAGGGGCACCAGGTCAGGTGAGGCGGCAGCCATGGGCACAGCCAGCTTCCTTTGCTTCTTCCTCCTGCGGCTGGAAACAGTGGGTGGAGCTGTTGTTGACTACGGGAAGTACAGGCAGGCTGAGGAGCTTCAGACTAAGCAGCTTTACATGGCGGAGAGGCAGCAGCTTCCCCTGGGCAGG